TAAATAATAATAAAACTAGTGCTTTACAACTGATTAGCAAATCACACACTTTGTTTCTTCAAGTACCACAAGTTCCTAAAGACGTGTCTCCAGTTTCAAACAGATCCTTTATAAATATGAAGCTGATGAGACATCACTCTGGCTCAGGCTCTGGCACTTTCACCGTGTTACTATTTTTATGAATGTATACGTTTATAATCTATGGTTTTATCGTACAATGTACATCTTCTATATTTGTTATCAAACTTATCTCATGCAAACACAGTTCATTTGTAAATCCAAGTCTGAGTGTTGTGGAGAGTTCTGTTGGCTCTTGTTATCAAAGAGCGCCCTCTGCTGGTTCTGTAGTGATATGAACTCCATGGGTTAAAGCATTTCTAATAAATCATAATCAGTTATTATTATGTCAAATAGCTTTAGGCCCTATTGCCAACGTATTTTTGGTTTACTCATTAAATTAAATTGTTATAAAAAGTTAGAAATGTACATACTTTCTGTTAGCATCTGGTAGAAATGTCTTTAAAACAGTTTGAGTCAAATGTTTAGTCTTCCACATTATTCTCACAACAGTCCTGCTGTAACTGAGTCGTGTTTGTCGCCTGCTTCACTCTCAGGCGTTTGAGATCTGCCCAAAAGTGTTCTTTAGGACTGAGATCAGGGCATCGCGGAGGTCGCTCCAAAACATCAACTTTGTTTTCCTGTAGCCACTTAGCCGTTTGTCTGGGGTTACTGTCCAGATGGAGAATCCCATTAACAGTTGGATTTCTGTAATTGGATCTGAATCAGATAAAAGCAGATCCTGGAGGACGACTCACATCCGTAAAATAAGTAAATAAAATAAACATAAAGAGGAAATACTTGTGTGAAGCTCGGTCGATGTACAGAAAAATTATTTTGTAGGAATCCTGCTCCTTCGGCACCTGAAGGGTTCACCTGAATTTGTTTTTGACTTTTGAATCTGACGTCATGTATTTTATCTTGAGGCCATTTCACTTTAGATCAGGGGTGTCAGACCAGTCCTTAAATGGCCCGTGTGGCTGAAGGTTTTAGTTCCTACCAGAGCAGGAGCACACACCTCGCCTGGTCTTACCACACCATCGTACTCATTTCATTTTGTACTAAGTAGAGAAATGATAATGATAATAAGTCTACAGTAGGCTAAGACCAGGCTGGAGCACAACAGACTCCACCCATTTCCTCAAAATGATTCCAATTTTAATGTGAAGATTTGAGGAAATGGGTGGTGTCTATAGTGTTCTCCTGCTCCGGTCAGAACCAAACACCGGACCTGGAACCGGTTTGACACCCCTGCTTCAGACGAGGAGCTCCCAGCTTCAGCCAACCTCACAAGTTCTTCAGCTCTGGCGTTATTCCCACAGTTTCAGACTAAAAGCAGCTCCTGAGCGATTGATGGCTGCACTTTCATGATGGGCTCTCGATTGAGTAAAGTTGTTGAAGGTCCTGGGTTTGATTCCGCCTCCTCATGTGTGGAGTTTGCACGTTCTCCCCATGTCTGCTCTGGTTTCCCCTACCACTAAAAGCATGGATGAGTGTTTGTGAGTTTGTGATATTCATTAATACAGTAATACAATACAATACCCACGTTACATACAGAAAGATACAACACTGTTCCATCTAAATAATCATGGTGTTACTTTGCTCTGCTGGTTTCTGTTGCTTTATGGTAGAGTTGCTTGTACTTGTGTTAGTCCAGAGAACCCTGGGACAAAACAAAACAAGAGGAGTTACCTAACAAGTCTTTGACAATGCCTTTTCTAATCGCGTCCATTTCCGTAAAGCATGCAACAACAGGTGCTTTAATGCTTTTGTTAGACATTTGGAAATACAGCAGAGAATGTGAGTAATTAGTCTTGCCTTTCTTAGTTTGTTTTCATTGGAAATTATTAGGCAAGAATTCCAAGTCCAATAAGCCGTCTCACTGTCGCACTTCCAAGAGAGCAGTGTAACAGGAGATCCGAAATGTCAGAGCATCTGTCAGTCAACGGGCCCGAGCTGCACCGAGCTAAAAGCAAAGCCCATAAAGCTCTGAGTTTGTCTGGTGGGCCGCGGGGGTCTCGGGGGTCTCGGGTACGGGTCCTGACCTCATCACAAACAAATGAGCCGGACATGTGAGCGGCTAATTTTAAGGTTGCATCTTTATTGTCATTGAGGTGGGAGGAGCCTGAGCTGCAATGAGTTTTCTTCATAAACACAACTTGTATTGTTCAGAGTCGATACGATTTCAATACGTGTTTATAAGTTCGATAAGTTTATAAAGAACAGTTCAGTAAAAACGAAAGGCTTTCGGCGAATTGTTGTTAAATAAATATATCAATTATATTTTATCGGAAATGTCTTAGAAAATGCATACATGTTTCTAAGAGTGCTTTGTGGATTTGGTGAAGGCGTTCGACCGTGTTCCCCGGGGTGTCCTCTGGTGGATTCTCCGGGAGTACGGGGTCCAGGGTCCTCTGCTGAAGGCTGTCCGGTCCCTGTATGACCGGAGCCTGAGCTGTGTTCGCATTGCCAGCAGTAAATCAGACCTGTTCCCGGTGAATGTTGGCCTCCGACAGGGCTGCCCTTTGTCACCGGTTCTGTTCACTGCCTTTATGGACAGAATTTCTAGGCGCAGCCAGGGGCCGGAGGGGGTCTGGTTCGGGGACCACAGGATTTCATCTCTGCTGTTTGCGGACGATGTTGTCCTGCTGGCTCCAACGAACCAGGACCTACAACATGCACTGGGACGGTTTGCAGCCGAGTGTGAAGCGGCTGGGATGAGAATCAGCACCTCCAAATCCGAGGCCATGGTGCTCGACCAGAAAAAGGTGCCTTGCCCTCTGCAGGTGGGTGGAGAGGCCCTTCCTCAAGTGGAGGAGTTCAAGTATCTCGGGGTCTTGTTCACGAGTGAGGGAAGGATGGAGCGTGAGATTGACAGGCGGATCGGTGCAGCGTGCGCAGTGATGCGGTCGCTGTATCGGACCGTTGTGGTAAAGAGGGAGCTGAGCCGAAAGGCAAAGCTCTCGAATTACCGGTCAATCTTCGTTCCCTGCCTCATTCTGTGGGTAATGACCGAGAGAACGAGATTGTGGGTACAAGCGATCGAAATGAGCTTCCTCCATAGAGTCCCGGGGAAGACCCAGGACACGCTGGAGGGACTATATCTCTCAGCTGGCCTTGGAACGCCTTGGGGTCCCCTTGGCGACCCGGCAACAGATGAAGCAGAAGAATGGATGGATGGATGGTTAATACAATGAGCCATGTTTGAAAAGGTTTGTGAGTAAAGTACACTCGAGTAGTGGCTTTGAACACCACTTTGAGAATGTATTGATTTCAAGTTGAAATTGGTCGAAGTAAAAACGTTCCAGAGATTTCAAGATAAAACAAAATTAGACACAAACAGTTCTTTACATCAGTGGTTCCTTTTATGTTGAAACATGTTTAACGGCGGCGCAGTGGTTAGCTCTTGTGCCTCACAGCAAGAAGGTACTGGGTTTGATTCCACCTCCAGGCCTTTCTCTTTGGAGTTTTGCAAGTTCTCCCCGTGTCTGTGTAGGTTTCCTCTGGGTGCTCCGTTCTAGCTACTATAATTATGCCTGGCCTCCTCGCCTCCTTTAAGATGACCCCTCTCCCATCTCTGTGTGGAGGGAGAGACAAAGGCCTGTGACTCTGGTCTGTGAAACGCGCTGTATATATAAAGATTACTTACTAACTTGCTTAAACCTTACAACGTAGAAAGATGTTTAGAAGCAGAGCTAACATACACTCACGCTGAGAGTGTGGTCGCTGCAGCTGCCTCTTATCGCTCCCTTGTGGTTTATCAAAAGCACTCTACATACTTGTGATATCGTGCAGCGCTGGGACCGACTCTGCTCAGGTTTTCTTTCCGTCCTGATCCTGGCTCAAGAGAAAATGTTCTTTAAGCCACATTTCACACAGTCGGGAAAAGTGTTATTATTGTTCTTAGTTTGGCGCAGACGTGTCAAACTCAGGCCCAAGAGCCAAATCCGGCCCACAAGACCAAGTTTAGCGGCCCCTGAAATTATAGTCAATTATTGCTATTTAGGTAACTATGCCATGTTATAATTGATTTTAAATTAAGCACATCATCAAGAAAACAACCATAGAATTGATTTTGTTCTAAATTATTTACGGACATGTATTTAGAAGTTAACGGTATATGGGAGGTTTTTTTTTTTTCCGGGTGGATCATCAAAACTATTGGTCCTCCTAATTGTCAATCATTCCGGTGATTAGAGATCAGAGAGTTTTGTTCAAAAAGTGGAGAGGGCGGTTCTTTCCTAAAATTTGGGGAAATTCTCCTTTGAGTTCTAAATTCAAGTTTGTTAATATTTTAGAACAACTTTAATTATATGGTTGTTTTCCTGATGATACACTTAATTCAAAATCAAGCCTGTTTCATCAAATGCCCAATGATTTATTTTATTTTAAACTATCGGTCTTCAAATAAATGTCTTCTTCATATTTTGCCCAGTTTTGGTTGAATCTAAACTTACCAGAAAATAAAAAAGCAAACTAATGTCAAATAATAGGTCTGGCCATAACCTGCTTTTATGATTTTAACTTTGGCCCCCGACCAAAATGAACATATCGCAGCGATCGTATACCCAGGGACTTTGCCGTGTTTTATGCCGACATTGTGCTTTGTGTGGATTCATTATTATACGGTGCATTTGATAAGCGATAGTGGAGTGGGAACACAAAGATAGAGATGTCAAGGGCCGGGTGAGAGGGAGGGCCCCTGGAGGAGGAAGAAGGAGCTCAGTGTGCGGCGTCCGGGCGTCGGGAGGACAGTGGCTCAGACTCCGGCAGATCTTCAGACCACAGACCAGAGGGACACCAGAGGGACCAAAGAGGGACCATAGAGGGACCATAGAGGGACCATAGAGGGACACCAGAGGGACCATAGAGGGACCAAAAAGTAACAACAGAGGGAGCGTCCATGTTTGTTGGAACGATGCTGAGGCGAGCGGTGCCAAGCGATGGAGCCTGACGCGCCCCAACAGGAGGCACCCACGGCCAGGTACCGCAATATGGCATCACTCAGATTATTTTTAGCCTTTGTTTGTTCCAGGCTTTTAGTTTGTGCTTTGTGCTGAATGTGGAGCTCACTTTGAGGACGAATTGTGCTAATTACGATGTGTATTGTAAACTGTCAGGGGGGAAAAAATGCACATAATAGAAATAATAAACACAAACATATACTGCACCATAGAATGTCAAACAATTTAATAATTAGATAGATGTATAGATTTTATATTTTTTTCTAATTACAAAAGAGAAAAGTATAAAAACAGGTCCTGGACGACAATTAAATTTTTTATTCAAAATGTAAAATAATAATTTAAAGGAAAATTCTAATGTTAAAATGGTTATATGGTTCCATGTTCAATGCAGACATGATGGTAAAAGCCAAAAATGGTTGTAAATATGCTCTTGTGTGTTTCATCGCTAGAATCCTCTGTGCTGTATTCCACACTGGCCGCGGCCCACATGATGCGGACCGTATAGGTGCCACAAAGCTCACTCTGTGTGGCGCACAGACCCTCTGTTTGTCCTCCCTCCTTTGCTCTTTAGCATTTTAATTCCACTCCTCCCAATGTCGCTGATTAGAAAGAGATTTTTCAAATATTTCCCAACGCCCACATTGCTCCAGCGGCTGTGGATGTTGTCTCTCTCTTCAGCCACAAAGCACTAGTTTGTGCAAACAAAGACTCTGGGTCACCCACGGAGCCAGTAAAACCTCAGACTTCTGATGTTTCTGATGAATAAGCATCAGCATCAGGAGGATAATAACCGCACAGTTACAGAGTAAACAGATAATGAACTGAGGCCCGGGCTTCATGCTCAGGGCCACAACAAACCACATGCACATACACACACGGTGAGCTAGGACAACACACAAGGAGCACACAAAACATACAGAGAGAAGTAGATAGAAAAGTGAAGTAGATAAAAGGACAGTTAGTGGACGTTCATTGTACAGTCTGACAGCAGCAGGGAGGACAGACCTGTGGAACCTCTCCTTTACACAGCCAGGGTGGATAAGTCTGTTGCTGAAGCTGCTCTCCAGAGCAGAGAGAGTGTCCTGCAGGGGGCGACAGTCATGGTCCAGCATAGATGTTAGTTTGTCCAGGACCCTCCTGTCCCCCACCTGCTGCACTGTGTCCAGGTAACAGCCCAGTTCCAGCTTCTTCCTGTCCCTCTGTGATGCTGCTGCTCCAGCAGACCACACCGTACAAGAGGCTCCACCACAGAGTCATAGAAGGTCTTCAGGAGTGGACCTTGCACTCCAAAAGACTGAACAGAAGCAACATATTTTGTGAAACAAAATAATGATACAAATATAATTTATTTTAAAAATGTAAACACAGCCTTCTTCTGGCCTTGTTCATGTTCTGCCTCTGTTGCAGTTACCATCAGACGTGTGGGTTCACAAACACAGGGCTCCTATCGCTTTCTTTAGGATTATCATAAATCTCATCACAGTCTTATAGCTGTTGCCATATTGGTTTACAAACACACACACACACATACTCACACACATGCACTCACACACACACACACACACACACACACACACACACACTCACACACATGCACTCACAAACACACACACACACACACACATACTCACACACACACACACACATACTCACACACATGCACTCACAAACACACACACACACACATACACACGCACACACACACATGCACTCACAAACACACGCACACACACACACACACGCACACACACACATGCACTCACAAACACATGCACACACACACACACACATTTTTTGGCCCCTCCCTGTCCCCATGGCGACGCAGCTGTCACCTGTCAGTTCGGGGCAGCAGGGATGCACTGTTTTTAGCATGAGTTAAACCGGGACAGAGACGGAACAAACCCTTTTTGGAAAGTGTAGAAACTGTTGAATGTTTTTCTTTTGCAGAGTGTGGATCATGTAGACTGTGGTCGAGTACAGAGACTCATGAATCCTGAAAAGTCTATTTATTTCACAGAGACAGAGCAGAGTTGCAGTCTGACCGGTGAGGCCTCAGCCGGACACCGACACTTCTGCAGGTACCGTCTATATTTGTATGTTAATTTGTATATGTTTTTGTTGTATTTGTGTGTCTGTGCTGCTTTGTCGTCGCAAAACAAGGTCATAAAAAATAGTTCATGACATATCTATATATAGGTATAGGTTTTTCCCTGGACACAAGGTTTTTAAAATGCTAGTTGTAGCCATTGCTTCCCAGTATTCCCTAAACTTAATTCATCTCATTTAAATAACTTCTGGTTCAGATTCTATACACATTTATTCATTCAGGATCTGTGTATTGGTGCTTGTTATCGAGAGGTATTGATAATGTGTGAGTTATGTAGGGTAGCTAAAGTCTGTGATTGATGACTGTTATGTATTCATTATGTAGTCATTGGAAAAAGTTTTGAAGTGGAAACAATATTGCTGCAAAAAGAGATGAAAAATAAGTTAAAAATTGCTCAAATTTGTCAAAATGTGTCTTAATTTGAGCTCATTCCGACTGCCTTAAAACCAGATTTGCCAATGCGACAAATCAAAAATGTATCTTGTTTTTAAAAAGACGCAAGAAATGTCTCCCTTGGAATGAGAAAATAAAGCAGTTCTTGACAAACTAAATGGATTTGTCACTTTGGCAAATTTTGTTTCTCAAAAATAATCAATCCAAGCAATTATCACCTCATAATTTATCATTTTTTGCAGTGTAAAAGAATGGAGGACCAAGACAGAGTCAGCCAAGCATCGAGCGTGGCCACCATCTCCTACTTCCCCAGAAAGGTTGGCCAAATATTCCCAACTTTTGTTTGTGTTTGTTTTTAGTTTTCACGTTTGACCGTTTTGTTTATTTCAAAGGACAGCGATGGAAAAGTGCAAACGTTTGGAAAAAGGTCTCATTCTGTCAAAAGAGATCCCAACTGCCCCGTGGTGATCCGAGGGTGGCTGTATAAGAAGGTACTGGACCAATGGCTTCTATGTGTTTGTTTTCATTGACTGCTTGATTCTCTGATCTGTTGTTGGTGAATCGGCAACTTTGGAAAGTGCTCCGAGACGACTGCTGTTGTGATTCAGAGCTACACAACATTGAACTTGTGTGTTTTACAGGACAGTTCCGGTCTCAAACTGTGGAAGAGGAGATGGTTCGTCCTCTCAAACTACTGCCTCTTTTACTACAAAGGTACACAACATAAGTCTGACACGACAAAGGTACACAACATAAGTCTGACACGACAAAGGTACACAACATAGGTCTGACATGACAAAGGTACACAACATAAGTCTGACACGACAAAGGTACACAACATAAGTATTTGTATATATGTATAACACGTGTGTGTGTTTCAGACAGCAGAGAAGAGTCGGTCCTGGGCAGCATCCCTCTCCCCAGTTATAGGATCCTCTTCTGTACTCCACGAGAATGTAAGAGCCGGAAGTTCACCTTCAAGGTAACGATCATTTGGAAGAAAAATGTTTAACTATGGTTTTGCAAAACGGGAAGAAGAGAACCTCTCTTTCTCTCACAGTCTGGACATTTCAGATTAAAATGACATCATAATAATAAAACACATGTAAATACATAAAGTCGATGGTCATGCGTGTTCCTGAACCAGGTGGTGCACCAGGGCATGCGCTCCTACTTCTTCAGTGCGGACACTCAGGAGGACATGCTGGGCTGGGTGCGAGCGCTCAGTCAGTCTGCAGCCATGGACCCAGGCAGCGCCATGAGCAGGTACTGGAACAACCTGGTCAGTGTGGGTCTCTTCCACAGGCCTCTGAATCATAATGGATTTTTATAAAAGAATATACTATTGACAACCAGTGCATGATACCACATGTACACAACTACATCAGAAGAACACAGCAGAAGTTTTATCTTCTGGTTTAAGTAAAACAAAATTAAACAATTCCATCTATAACCACAAACCCTGATCCCTGTGACGATGGTGATGCTCCTGCCTCAGGCAGCTGTGTGTACAACACTGGCCTGACCCTCGTCAACAACTGCACAAGTACAACAACAACATTCGTGTCAGTGTGTGATGTCACAGGCTCTGACCGGGTGTGTGGCCCGTCTATTTATGCTCCGACTCCTGTGTGTCAGCCACTGCTTCATTTAGGGTTTATTTGTGTGAAAGTGATTAGCACCTGGTTCATGGGAGCAAACACATTTGTCAGACACACACTCTATCATTACTGTTGGTAACTTTTAGAATTATTATTTATTCATGTTTGTCAGAATGGATGTGTTTCTGCTGCTGGAACGGCATTTTCTGCATCAATAACGTATCTATCTATAAATGTCTGCACTTGTCCTGTAACTAAACCACTGAAGTGTGAACATTCTTGTGTGGGTTGGTGTCTTGCTCTAATCCTTCTGCTTTTGTCTCCTCAGGCGCTGCTCCAGTTACCAGGACTTTACCCACATAGGGGGCAGTATAGAGTCTGTGGACTTGCCTCTGTCTCCCTCAGATGGAGAGGGGCCCTCACACCGTCACGTCAGCAGGACTCTGAGTGAACCCGGGCCCCTGAGAGGGGGCCGCATGGGAATGTCCCACCAGGAGCCGAGGGGGAGGCGGAGTGTGCGGCACAGACACTGCAGGTTGATGTCAGACACTTTTCAGAGGTTTTTCCTGATGTTTGACATGTTTCATGTTTTGCCACAGTCCTGGAACCCGCACCCCAAGTCCTCAGCCGCGCTGCAGCCGCAGACGCCTCCCCGGCCAGGCCGACTCCGTGATCTATGTCCCAGTGGAGAACAGTCTCCACAGCCCTGTGGACATGATGGGGACCAGCTCCTTACCCTCCAGGGCCCAGCTGGGGTCCAGGCCTCACACACCAGTTGGTCGAGTCGACATTCGGCCTCAGGACGACCCCACAGTCCTCCCTCACACGCTCTACTACGCACCTGCTTCTCCAAAACTGGAGTTCAAATCCACTCCCACCACCCCAGTGACAGAGAGGTGGCAAAAGGTCGAGAGGCTTTGCATATTTCATGTGAACAACTAAGCTTGGATAGTGGTCATGCAACATTATTTGTATAGCACAATTCTCACACTGGGTTAATCAAAATGCTTTGTAAAACATCTTGTGTAACTTCCATCTTGGTGTCTTTGCAGCCTGTGGGAACATATGGATCAGTCCATCTCATCCCAAATGTAAGAAGACCTTTGGGAAAGGTAAGCAGGGTCTCTATCAACACACAGGTGTTCAGTGATTAAAGGACATATGTGTAAATATTCTGGAGAGAAGATCCACTCTTCATGATGTTGGTGCTGTGTGCCTTCAGAGCTTCTCCACAGGGGCAAACACAGACTTACTGCCTCCTCTGCCCCCGTCCTCCAAAACACCACAACATCACCACCACCATCACCACCATCACCGCAACCATTTATCTGTGTGTGTGCTGCCGCCAACGATGGTACAGGCTTCGCTCTGCTCCGCGCTCTGTGAAGAGTCTGCAGCTTGTCCATGTTTCTAACACTTGTCTCCTCTGGAGAGCTAACACCTGTAGCTAACAGTAGCTATGGTCTAAGATAGATGCAAACATCTCATGTGCCTGTGATTATGGGAGTTACTTCTTAAAGGATGTTTGTGTGATTTCAGTCCACGAAGCCTGAGCTGAAGGAGTGCCAGCCAATCAGGCCGCTGGAAGGTGACGCTGATGTAAGTGTGAGCATGAATATTGAATATGTAGAGAATGTGACATCACTGCTCTGTCTTCTGTCTTCAGGTTGTGTTGACGCGACTGTGTGGATGTGACAAGCTGCTGCACTCGTTGTCGATGGAACTGGCCCAGCTCCAAATAGATAAGGTCAGAGAGTCATGTGTGTGATGTCAGGTTTATTCTGGGGTCCAGTGCTTCTCCTTTGATGCTAAAACAGTGGCGCTGCTTTGCAGGACAGTGTCCACTGTGCTTTAGAAGTCTCACGCCTGCAGCTGGAGGAGTGGAATAACCAGGGCCCCCAGGTGTACGAGGAAGTATTCACCCAGAAGGCTTTGCTGCAGGAGGACTTGGTCACCATCCGAGCTAGAATGTGTGATGTTTCTCTGGTGCGTACAGAAACAACATGTGGCTAGTGATGTACGTACGCAGATTAGTGACGACTGTGATGATGCAGGAGATGGAGAATGTGTGGAGCCAGTACGAACGGATGGAGAGCGAACTGTCCGTGATCCGCTCCCATCTGCAGCACATCTGTAACTTTGGAGTTCCAGAGGTCTGCGTTTGATCACTTACACCAGGCGTGTCAAACTCAGGCTCGTGGGCCAAATCTGGACTGCTAGACACATTTTAATAGCCCCTAAAATGATTTTCAATTATTATTAACCCTTGTGCTCAGGTCAAAGAGGCCCGCCACAGATAAATAAAAGTAGAAAGAAAATACCCTAAAATTGGTGAAAAAAATTGTTGCTGGTCTATTTGACCGGAGGATTAAGATGCAGCATTAATGGTTATGGCGTGTTATACATCCTCTGTTCTAACCCAACATTTTGTGCTTAACTATATACAGTTTGTAGTCCAAATTTAGTTAAATCCATTCAATAAAAACATTTTTTTTTTTTTTTTTCAAAAAATAAATTAACCAGAAAATAGTAGTGAAACTCATGTCAGATGAAAGTAATGCAACATACTTTATAATAGTTATTAAGTATTTTTATCGTTTAAAAAACATTTGGAAGAAAAGAAAATCGCTTCTATTCTCTCGACCCGACCAGAATGAGTCTGACACCCCTGACTTATGCCATTTGTTTGTGTTGGGACTGACAATACTTCTGCCCCTTCAGGATCAGTCTCAGGCCCAAAGAGAGCTGTGGATGATGGAAGATATTCTGTCAGGCCTTAAAACCAACAGAGAACATTTCCGCTTCCTTTTGGGAATCCAGCGGCACCACAGTCAGTCATCACTGTCCCACATTTGTCAACTTTTCCTGCTTGTAGCTTCATCTTCTGTGTGTTTGTCAGTGTTCCAGCCGCCCTCCCCTCACCCAGGATCCCCCGTGTCCCCCACCGCGAGAGCACAGAGTGGGTCAGCCATGGTAAGCCTCAGGTCGTCTGTCGTATAGAACCATGACAAAACGAATGAATGTTTCAAATCATCTAAACTGTGAATGTTGTTGTTGAGGATGTCGATCAGGAGCCTCCAGCGCGGCCCCCACTGCCCCAGGAGCTGAGCCAGGATCAGGACTGGACTGAGCCTCCCTCTCCCTACGAGGTCAGACCAGTGGGGGCGGGTTATTTCGTTTTCTCATGTTTATGGCTTGGAAGGTCCTTTTAATAAGACAAAAAAGTAAAGAAAGCTAGTATTGCTTAGTTACTGGACATGTTTCGGCGGTAGACTTCTGCCTTCGTCAGAGGTGACACGTGATACTGTGACTCTTATCGGCTGTTGTTGCCGGATGCGGTCAGTCTGACAGATCTCACATCCATCAGACTGACTGCGTCTCCTGCCGTGTTGAGATCTCTGAAGAAGTGTATACCATGTGTGAGCCAAGGTGAAAGCCCCCTCGTCTCTGTTGATGGTCCGTGAGCCCCACTTCCTGATTTCACTCGCCTCTCTGGCTTTCTCCTTGGCTCACACTTGGGATTCACTTCCCCAGAGAGCATGTGACAGAACATGTCACAGATGTGCTTTGGTCCAAGGCCTTGAAGAGACTTGTAAAAAACAGAGCAGCTTTAAAGTCTATTCTCTGAGCCACAGGAGCCAGTGCAGAGACCTGAGACTGGACTGATGTGATCCTGCCTCCTGGTTCTAGTAGGCCGTTCCAGTAGTCTGACCATAGATTTATGAAGATAGAGTCTGACCTACTGGAGACAAAATAAATAGAATAATAGTGACTCAAAAGGCTCTTTTTATCCAAGTTTGCAAAATACAACAGCTACAAAAACTTCTAGAAGATTAAGACAGATGTTGTGGTCTGCTGACACAAACAACATTGCTTATTTATAGAAAGAAAGTTTGGTTCCCAGCTTTAACGGGTCTTATCCACCATCTTTTTTTACCACAAACGAATCACTGGTGTTTTAAAGTTCAACATTGGGTTGATTCTCTCGGTTCAGCCTTGTGCACAACCGCAGCTATCTCTATCCTTACTCGAGACTCTTCAGACTGAGACCTCCATTGTCGTCCTCTGCTCCGGTTCTCAGCTCCGTCTGACCACACAGCGCTCAGGGGCCCCCACAGCGCTCAGGGGCCCCTCTGCACCGTGTGAATGACCAGGATCACAGCATTCATCTGTTTTGGTTCTGTGACTGTGTGGTTTGGTGACATCACATGCAAAGAAAGTAGAGCGCTGAACAAGGTGAAGAGAGAGACCAGGGAAAGACCAGAGACAGACCAGAGAGAGACCAGAGAGAGGACCAGAGAGAGAGAACAGAGAGAGACCAGGGAAAGACCAGAGACAGACCAGAGACAGACCAGAGAGAGACCAGAGAGAGACCAGAGGTAGACCAAAGGGAGCCACTAGAGAGAGAGACCATAAAGAGAGACCATAAAGAGAGACCAGAGATAGACACTAGAGAGAGAGAGACCAGAGAGAGACCAGAGAGAGACCAGAGAAAGACTAGAGGGAGACCAGAGAGGGACCTTAAAGAGAGAACAGAGGGAGAACAGAGAAAGACCAGAGATAGATCAGAGAGAGACTAGAGAGAGAGAGAGACCATAAAGAGAGACCAGAGAGAGGGACCTTAAAGAGACTAGAGAGAGACCAGAGAGGGACCATAAAGAGACTAGAGAGAGACCAGAGAGGGACCATAAAGAGAGAACAAAGGGAGAACAGAGAGAGACCATAAGAGAGACCAGACAGGACTGTGACTGTGAGCTGCCTGTTCTGGAGGCTCTTTTCAAATCCAGACTCTTAAACCGAGCTCTTAGGATAATAGATCACTCTTCTGTCCTCTGGAAAAGCCATGTTCCAGCTTCTTACCTCTGGCATAAGATACTGTTCCTTGAGATGCAGGACATCTCGCTTTGCTAATCAGTTTAAACAGAGCACTTTATGATCTTTATGATGCACTTGTCTTGAAACTGCTTTTGTGGATTGATATTACATACACTATAGTTTGTTTTATGTACGCACTCTGTTGCACATGTATTCCAATGTGGTTTTACTGCAGATGGCAAATGATCCGTTTGGTTCCAGGGGGTGTACAGCCACAGAGAAGCAGGCCACAGACGCGGACACAGCCAGCCCGACCTGCTGCATGTGAACCCCCACACAGACTCACAAGGCCAGTGTTTTTTTGCTTTTTTCACGCTTTCTCATTTGGATTTGTTTTAGTGGAGCGACACAATACAGCCTCAGTTTGGGAAGAAAATGGGAAAATATTATGATATTTGCACAAAGGAGTTCTGGAACACGATGGGGAGATTCTGTGTTTATCTTAAAGTAGATATCTTCTTTTATCTAACTTTCAAACCACAGAAATTGCCATTATGTAAAAAATCCATCTTAAGAGCTCTCAACAATTATACCCTTAGTCTCACTATTTTCTTTAAATAATATTTTTCAGATTGAAAAGTGAGAACCAATCATCTCTCAGCCCAAAGAGTCAAATAGTCCTTCTTACAAGTATAGAAAATATGTTTGCTAATAAGGGAATAATAATGATAATAATAATAATAATAATAATAATAATAATAATAATAATAATAATAATAATAATAATAATAATAAAAATTATAAAAATTATAATGATAAAAATAATAATAATGCATGGGTTTTCACCATAGACTGTGTGTTTTCACTCAAAGACACGTACCATATCATTCTTCTTTCACTCCAAACACGGTGGTGATAAACATCTACTGTAGCCACAGCTGCCCTGGGACACATTGAGGCAAACAGTCCATGCCATCACCTCTGACCACCAGCATGTAGACTGATTTAAACACAAACCTTTCTGTTTGGACACACAACATTTTTCCACATTATTTATCAAGTCAGACTAAGCTAGGTACTCCAGCTTTAAAGTTTAGCACAAATTACGAAAACCGCATATTCTTATAACGTACGTAATGAGTTGCATCTGTGTATATTAGTTCAATCTGTATCATGCCTAACAGTCGTCTTCTGAGGTAAGTGTCATTATCACAAATAACAGTGGCAATATTTTATAATAAGTATTAATATAATAAGTATTTCAGCTACATCCTGAATCTACAAGTGTTAACTTTATCAGAGTAATATGTGCTCTAACCTGCCACACGCACTTTCACATGCTGAACAACACTGTGATATTGTCTAATGTTTATGTTTAGACTCTAATATCTCCAAGTGCACCAGCCCAGACTCCATCCTCACTTCCACTAAGGTAAGTTCTCTTTGCAGACGCAGCCAAAATGATCGATTCCACAATGTAGGCCGCGGCGCAGGCAGAAACTGTAGATACGTGTCGCAGTTCGTGCTGTGTCCAGGAGAGGGCGCCCGTGTGGTTGTTGTTGACACCCAGCCCCCTTTTTCACACTCACCCAGACAAGTGCAATACCCCACAGAAGCAGACACACACTCAGGTCTTTGTATAGAAGCCACGTGACGCTCTTCAAGATCCAATGGACTGGAATAAGTCTATTTGACCGTTTTTTATATATTTTTAAGTTATTTCCTGGTGATATTAGATTGTAGAATTAACGGCAATTGCCTTTGATAGAAAGTTATGCCGCTTTTTAAATGACACAGACACAGACAGAGACACAGACACAGACAGAGACACAGACAGAGACAGAGAGAGAGACACAGACAGAGACACAGACAGAGCGAGAGACAGAGAGAGAGACACAGACAGACACATACAGAGACACAGACAGAGACACGGACAGAGACATTGACAAAGACACAGACAGTGACACAGACAGATACACGGACAGAGACATTGACAGAGACACAGACAAAGACACAGACAGATACACAGACAGCGCAGACAACAGAAACAAAGACAGAGACACAGACAGAGACATTGACAGAGACAGACAGATACACAGACAGATACACAGACAGATGCACAGACAGCAGAGGCACAGACAGAGACACAGACACAGCTCATCCAAATATATACATGGATTCACTTTGGAGTTGGATCACTCTGAGCAGAGGTTGTTGCGTAGGCCGAAACTACAGGCCCTCATCTTCACCATAAATTATATACAGATGGACAATGCTAACCTGCCAGCTATGCCAATAGGGATGTGCTCATTAACAAAGTTTTGCTCCTTTGCTCTGGTAAAAAGAAAAAACTCCTTTAGCTCAGCGTTAGCAACCGTTTGGATCACACTCACTATTTTAGGTTAAAAAAATCAGTTGTTAATTGCTCTCTGTGATCCTGGTGTTCATAATTTATTATATTTTGATAAATCCACATATGAGCCGTAAAAGGGTTGACCAATTGGCGTTCATTTGTGGGGGAAGCTCCTGCTTGCCTTAGCAACCATCATAGCAACACGTCTGCCTCTGTCACGGCACAAAGATAACCCCTTCGTAAGAAATGCCCATATAAGGACATTTGCTTCAGCTAGCTTGTTATTCAAATCGGCCTCTCACGTATTCGACTAACACTGCAGTGGCCTCAGTTCTCGGCCAGTCCAGACACGGTCCATTAGAATTTGTTTTAGATGTTTTCTTTGTTTTTTGAGAATTTGAGCATATAATAATGATAATACATCATACTTATATAGCGCTTTTTCCGACACTCAAAAACGCTTTACAGCAATTCTATGGAGCAGCTTTGTTTTTGATGATAACGGTAAAGGTGCAGTATATTTATATGAGAGTCACCACTTTCTCTCTCTCATAAAAGACTAGAATGAGTGAAGAGGAGCAGATGGAGAGGATGAAGATGAACAAGCAGAAACCAGCACTAATAAAGAGGCCACAGAGTTTGAGCGTCCAGAGCCAGCCCACCCCCTGTGCGGCGGAGGAGCAGGTCCCCAGACTTTTTTACACACTTTGTCCCAACATAAGTTTAAGTCTCGACTTCTTCAATGTTCTCTCTGACTTGTCCTCAGGCGCCGTTTCCGTTGCGAGTGACTCGGGTGGTCACTGCGGTCCTGCCCTCGTCACTCGTGGCCAGGAAAGTCTCCGTGGAAGACCCCCCACCCGAACTGGACGTGCCGCTGCCGGAGCAGATCCAGCAGGAAGCAGAGCAGGACCAGGGGCCAGAGCTGTGCCCAGACCCCGGGCTGGGAGGGGGTGCCAGCAGAACCACAGAACACAGGGTGACCAGTGTTATTATGTTTATGGGATATTTATATACGGTGTGTTGCAGACGGAACATGTCATGATGATCCAACATCGGGATCATAGTATGTGGGGGACAAAGAAGTCGATTGGGAGAGTAGGGACAAAGAATCAGAATCAGAATTATTTATTGTCATTGTGAGTAACAGAAAGTCACAAAAAAAGATTTTGCTTTAGCTGAAGGTGCAAATACAGTAAGAAGAGAGTGGAAAAGTAAAAATAGATTTAAAAAAATCCTACAATATTAGTAGTGCAGGGACACACAATAGACATTTAGCAGTGCAATTTAGAACATACAGTAGAATTAACCATTCGTACTGAAATAATGTGAATAATGTGGCCTTATTTGCATGCACCAGCCAGACCCCGTCAGACCTCTGAAGCTATGCAGGGCAAGGCCTGGTAAATACTATGATGGGAGACCTCTGGGAACAACATTAGCCATAGTGGGGAGGCAGCGGCTGTAAACTGCCAAACTGTTGTTGCGTTCTTAAGCATGACACGTCCACCCACATTAGAATGAGTGACTGGTTGGTGGTGGTCAGAGGGGCCAATGCCACATACTGCAGCTGTGGCTACATTAGTATTTTATCACCGCTGTGTATGGAGTGATAAAATAATGACATGTGAAACGTCTGATGCATTATTTTTACAGTGACTAGTGACATGTGTAGCTCGTGTTGGGCGCTGATGTCACGTCTCTTGTGCTACAGGCAGCAGAGGGCGGGGTCCTGTTCCCCTCAGAGGCCCACCCAGACCTGTGCTGGAGCTCAGAGCAGCGTGAGGCCAAACTCCGCCGAGTGGAGAGGATCCGGGAGAGAGTCATCCGCAGGTGAGGCCCTTCTGTTCCGCTGCTGTGAAACCCTCCACAATCTGAAGTTGTTTGTTGGGCGTTGTTCACCTGGATTAGTTGATTTTCTATCTTAATCTACCAGTGCAGTCAGGGAGAGCTCCTCCAACCAACTCCCAACTCTGTGGAGAGAGGGCCAGGCCGCCTCCCAGGGAAACCTCGACGCCACCAAGAAACTACGGCAAGCCAAAGGTCTGACTATGATATTATCACATATTGTTAACACTAGGACTCCCACAACTATGGAACTTCTAGAACTCCCAGAGCCACCATTTTGACTGCTCTCATTCAAACCATTGGAATTCTGTGAAATTGCCCCAAAAATGATTTATTTTTCACCCAATTTATTTAGGTGAATTATAATGTTTTTACTTTAACTGACTTTTACTAAATGCTAAAACTGGTTACTTGAAATCATGGATGTATTATGTATTATTATAACTGCTGATAGTAAACAAGTGTGTTGCTATGGTCACCAGCACTCGTTTTAGAATTCTAAGAAATTCCCCCAAAAAGTGTTTTGTTTTCCACCAGTTGTATTCATAGTAAGTCATTTATAAGGTTTTTACATTCACGCATTTCTAATAAGCGCTAAAACTGGTGAAATTAACTTGAAATACACCAAGCTAAATGCTAACTGCTACGAGTAAACATTGTGTTGCTATGGTAACTGGCACTCACTGTTCTCTGAGGATGACTGCCCCTGGAGTTAATAATGACGCAGAAAAAAATAATATATAGAAAAAGAACAAAATCCCAAATGCACATACACTTGCAAATGCATTACACTTACAAAACTTCGAGCCGTCAAATTGACTGCTACAGGAGTTAAAGCATTCAGGCCTTTCTGTGACAATAACCTGTTACTGTTTCAGGGCGTGAACAGGAGGAGAAATCCAAATGTGCCAAAAGTTTAAAACAAACATCCGCGAGCCAGGACCCTACTGAGGAAGCCGATCTCAGCAAAGGCAAAAGTCCTGGCGGGAACAAAACACATCAAAAAGATCACAGCGGACGACGTGGAGTGACCAAGGCCAAACTCAGACGTCCAGCCTCGCCATACCATGTGTCACCAACGTCCATGCAGCAGAAACACGAAGGCGATGACTGTGCGGTGAGCAAAGGCAAAGAGACGCAGAGGCCGGAAGACGGAGGATGCAACGAAAACGGAAGCAGTATTTCCCCCGGAGATGTGAGAGCCCAGTGGTTCCTCTCCAACGGCCAGTGGGAAGGAACCGTCCCCCTGCAGAAGACGGACCAGGAGGAGGAGGAGAACCCAGGGACAACCATGGAGGAGAGCCACCAGATGTCTCCAGAGGTCAGCCAGAGCTTGGAGAAGATGAAGCAGAACCATTCGCTGTTTTACAAGATCGCGTGCGACATCAGTATTTCGGATTCGGACATCACCAGGACCGACGGGGGATCCAACATGCAGACGATAGCGGAGGAGTTGCAGATCACGGAAGAGGGGGAGGAGAGCAAGGAGAAAGTCCAGCGACGAAGCAACAATATCGTAAAAGAGGGTAATTGTGAGATCAGAGAAGAGGTTCTTGGTGACATTTCGAGTCAAGACGACCAGGTCTCAATAAGTGACAGAACAGAAGTGAATGAGAGCTCACAGAATTGTACAGATTCAAGCGGTGAGCAGACAAAGCAGGCGACAGAGAACACGACAGAAGAAATGAAAACCTGTGAAAGTAACGGTGACCACAATCCCAGTGAACCCAGTGAACCCAGTGAGACTGAGCAGCTGAACGGAGGCAGTCTGACCCACAACGCCTGTTTGGGAAGCACCAGAGTGACTGTGCTCAGGACCAGTCTGTGAGATCACACACACGGTTGTACTTCATCATGAGTCCTATAGTGAAGCATTGATAGTATCTGTGTATTCACGATGAAGAGTGAACATGCAAACTCCACACATGAAAGGCCTGGTGGTGCCATTGTGCTAGAAAACGGTTAATGGAACTTATCAATACAAGAAAAACTGTAAATGCTAACTGATGGTAAACAAAACCAGTGTGTTGCTTTGGTAACTAGCACTCTACTCTGGTGCAAAAGCAAACTGAACCAGGACCAGCATCTTGAGAAAAGGCGTAGAAACACTCGCATTTCATGAGTAGAAGATAATCAAAATGTTATGAAGACCATGAATACATAAGTAATAAAACCATTTAAAGCTGGGGTACCTAATTTTATTGTTTTGTATAAATGACACAAGTTATTTTTCCAGCCGAAAGTATTTTTTTAAAGTCAGATGTTGGGAATGAATCAGAACCATCAGACCAGACCCTGCTGTCTTCATGACTGAGGCTGCTCTGTCTGACTCAGGCCAGAAACACATGAGAAGACTATTGACAAAACCAAACTATCTTAGAGCCAGGAACTAGTGACATGGATTAAGCTCATTGTTGTCGTTTAAAGGTTACGTTCCACGGCTTTAAAACTGATGTCTGTAATGAAAATCCATCTCACTACTTCCTCATAATTGAAAAAGTTTTCTTTTATCACTAGTTTTCACATTCATGTATTTTTGGTTTCTGAGATTGTTTGTTTGTCTCACAGTGGGGAAATGTCAGTGTTGCATCTCACTTACAGGACAGTATAAGTGCACACAAGGAGCAACAACACGTGGATAGACACATAGACAAACTAAATATATCAATTATGGACTAAACAAAGTTGGGTACCGCAGTTTTAATGTGGACACTGTCATGGGGCATTCACATGTATCTGATCATGGCTTCGCTCTCCATCTGTGAAAGCTCGTCTGTAACGTGAATTACAACTCGTCGTCCGTTAGATCAATGTGGATGTTGTCTGTGTAGATCAGAGTTAATTAGAAATGAACGGGTCCGTGGGTGAAGTCCGGTCTTGTCTGGTTCCACTGGCCCCATTTCCCCGGAACATGATTTGACATGATTTCTCCTGTCTGCTTCTCCAAACAGCGCTTACGAACTCTGACATCTTACAAGTGCCTTTAGTGGAACATAAATACAGACTGGACCGTGTAAAGTATATGATGAGCTTTGGTTAACACAGACTAAACTACAATTACTCAAAGAGAAACTGAGATAGACACAAAACTGCTACATTTCCATAATACCAGAAAGTCTTAAAGAATACACAAGCAACATTGTGCTATATACTAAATCAACCCTGTCATTCCTTGTATTGTTTGAATCGTATGTTATGTGTGTGAATGTTAAAGGTATATAGGTGGATTTTCCCAAATTTTAGGACTGCCTTCTCCACTTTTTAAACAAATCTCTCTAAATGTCTTATTTGACAAGCACGTATCACCAGAATGATTGACAACTAGGAGGACCAATTGTCTTGATGATCCACCCGGAAGTAGAAAATCCTCCTATATATATATGTATACCTTTAAGCTTGACATACGGGAAGCAAAAAATCTGTTATGTATGTTCTGTTGTTGTCATTTACCAATAAACCTGTTGAGTGATGCTATAGATAGGCGCTGACTCATGAGGGTAATTGCATCATCATATGTGGACGTCTCTGGTGCGCTCTGTCGGGGTCCCGCGGGTGTTGAGGAGTCCTGCTTTCCAACCAGGATCCGCGCCACACAAAAACACACACACGGTCTTTGTCACTTTAAATCCTCGCCGTGTCTGAGTCGATGACATCATTGTCTGAGAACACATTACATCATCCCTTCCCGGGCCTCTCTCCCTTAAAGACAGCACCACCTTATGTCGGCTCGCCCTCCTGCACTATACCTGAGCTCCATCCGCGCATGGGGAGCCAAAACTCACGTGCACATTAATAGCAAATGTAATTGTTTACATGCAGTTCTAAGCGTGTGTTGAGTCTATGTTGTGGAAGACTAATGAAAGGGCTATTTCCCGCAAAAAAAAATATTATTATGAAATGCCATGCAATAAATAGAGAAGACGCATACGTAATTTTTTTTAAAATAATATTATGAATTGCAGAAATAATGCTAAATAATAATGGTTGTTTATGTGTATATAAATAGCATTAATAATTGGGATTATGTATTCACTTTTAAATTATTTCCCCCCTAGATAATGCACATAATACTGCTCTGACCGTGCAGTACACCAGACGCGCCTTGGCATCCTTCATTATGCTTCATTTATCAGTGTTTGATTGGGCTGTGCGTGACCGGCGCGCGCGCGTACGTAAATCACAGAGCTGCGGAGAGATGTTTCTTTAAGACCCATTACCTTCCAATCCGACAGAGGGGGGAGCCCGAGCTAAGGTGGTGTATCATCTCTCCTCGCGTTTTTTCTCTCCCCCCTCCCTCCCTCCCCCTTGCATCGTTTACATGTGGACACTGGAGACAAGCGTCAAACCCCGGGGTACCGAGGCAACCGTTATGGACCCGAGGAATATTTGACATCAAACAAACATGGACACTACGGGCTCCCTGCGATGACTGTGGTAAGGATGCAACTTCACACCGCCCCTTTTTCCTCTTGTATATTTGCAACCCACTTATGCCCCTCGCTGCAAATGGAACCACGGCGAAAACAGCGCGCGTCTTCGTCCGTGCCACAGAGCGCGTCTTCCCGCTGTTGTCAGGGCTGGGGCATTCTGGGGTGGCTTGTACAGTGCATGTGTGTGTGTGAATGGGGAGGAAGGAAGGAAGGAAGGAAGGATGGATGGATGGATGGAAGGGGGTTGAATGGAGGCGAATGGCATGGAATAGACTTAGCCTTTTGGCAGGTGCGTGATGGTATATCATTTTATTTAGCGCGCGTAATTCTCTTCGCTTCTTAATCAGTTTCCCTGGAGAAACGCGGCGTGTTTCTCCAATTGTGTGTGTGTGGTGGTGGTGGGGGGAGTTCTGGCATATCTTATATAAATATATATATGTATAAGCCAGAGAAGATGCTGATGCCAGTGTGCGTCGGCCTACTATGTGTTGCTTATAATTAATCATGGCTGTAACTGTAAGCATTCGCCGCTGGGAGCTTTTCTCAAGTCCAGCCTTCTCAGTTCTGTCACACACGGGGCCTGTCTGTGGACTTACTATACCCGAGCTATATTGACAGACTATACACCAGCCATCCCCTGTGCCATTTTGTACAGCAAGGTGCATTTTTCCTCTTAACACACAGGCGCTTTACTATGAGAATGTAAATATGCGCGTTCACGTGAGCTCGCCCATGCACCTCTCCTCTATACATTACGAACACGGAGCTATACAGTCGCTATATACACAATCTTATAAGCGCGCCTTGGGTTTGGCCATTAAGCCCAACGAGAGCTCAGTGGACTCCTATTCCCCTCGACCCAGCTGCCGACAATCACTTATCGATTCCAATGATGCGTTTCTTGCCCGGGGGGTACCGTTTGGTGGTATTAAGGCGATGGGGGGCATATTGCTATATAACCAAGCAATATGCATGCATCATCCTTTTCTGCAGGAAATGCCTGTGAATGCAAACGCACATATACCGCTTTTGCTTTTGTCATCCTGCAAAAAAAAGCAATCCCGCCCTATACACTGTGGGGATAGGAGCTCACAGCGCCCAAGCTTCTTTACTTGAGTTCAATGTTTGCCCATGTAATTGAATGGCATGCATAGTAGTCATTGGTGGCATTGGATGGAATGTTGTGCCAGAGCCTTGAGCCTTGAGTCTTGAGTAGGCGGCTTCTGGACTCATGATGTGGATAATCAAAACACCCACATGTGCAGACACAACAGTGGACATCAATAGCACCGAGAAGTCAGTCCAGACCCCCGAGAAGTCTCTGCATGGTTTGAGATGAGCTCTGGTCCCATCAGTCCCCATCGGTCCTAATGAATCTGAAATCAAATCGTGCACATACCTCGGTTTTGCGTGTGGTCACAGTTCACAGACTTATAATCTATTTAATAATGCGAGTCTCAAGTCTGAGGACACACAAGACGTTTTTCATTTTGTATCATGTCTCTGCTCGGTGGGTGAACTTGCAACTTTACCAGTTTAAGATTCTTCCGAAACGGGAGACATTAGTTTGCAACATAGTCTTGCTGCAAAGTATACAACAATAATCAGTACAATACTAATCAATACTTATCCTGTTTCAATAAAGGAAAGCCTCAAGACCACATTCACCAACTAGGCTCCAAAGATACGGCTTATGTGATAGTGATAGATGTTTATACATAACATAGGAGAGGTTGCATTCATGTGACATCACCACTGTCTAAAGAACCTATAACATTCTGGTGGAGCAGCTGAAACATCTTCCTGGGAAACTATAGTAACTGTAAAAAGTCAGTTAGTTTAGAGCTGACGTCTTTACTAAAGTATCACAATGCTCCACCACATTATTCAGAACAAACAAAAGTGTAGACGTTTCAGACATAAGAAGAATACAGTGTGAGTCTAATCCCTATCAAACCATAATCTGGGAACAACGTGCTTTAAAAATGTATTTCTTTTGCCGTGGACTTGTTCTGGGACCTGTCCTCCTCCTGAATATTGAGAAAAGCTTCTTAACTTTATAAAAGCTGTGACTGCGTCTAAAGCGCGAGTCTCAAACCTGAGATCACGACTCATTCTGAGAGTCTGTTCAGAGGATTTAAACATCTCTGCGCTGACAATATGTGCATCATTTAGAACAACTGATTCTCAAAACTATACAACTTTCGCAAACACATACTTTAACTTTGAGAGCTGATTCATGATAATAAAACAGTTATAGCTTTGTACAGCCCTTCAATGTTGTCCATTTGCCAACAACAGATCAGAGAATCCAACCGCTTGAACACAAGGGAGCCGGACGACCCCTGTAGGCCCATACTGAGAGAGGGATCTGCTCCCATGGGTGGCTGTAGAACCA